TAGGTACCTTCAAGTTGGTTCCGACTCACGGCGACCCTGAGTACAACTGACCGAAATACCACCGCTCCTGCCTCATCCTCACAATTGTTCTCATGTTGGGGCCCCTTGCTGCAGCCACTGTGTCAACCCCCCTTGTGGAGGGCCTTCCTCTTCTTTGTTGCCCCTCTACTTACCAAGCATGATGTCCTTCTCCAGGGATGTCGCTCCTGACAACGTGTCCAAATTCCATGAGACGATGTCTCGCCGTCCTCGGTGTCAAGGAGCATTCTGGCTTTACTTCTATGGACACAAACTTCTGGCAGTTCCCCTGCCTTCAGTGTACTGTACCGTCCCCACAATTCAGAGGGGTTGGCCCTTCAGTGGGGTTTCCTATCCATTGACCAGCTTTCATATGCATAGGTGGCAATTGGCAAAATGACATCCTTGCTCTAACACACCTTGGGATTTGCCCAATGCAACACATGGTTTAATTTCTCGACTGCTATTTCCTTGGATGTTGATTGTGGATTCAAGTAAAATCAAATCCATGACCACTTTTCCATTCATCACAACATTTTCTATTGGTCCAGTTGCGAGAATTTTTGGATTTCTTTAAGTTAAGGAACAGCCCGTTCTGAAATCAATACCCCAAACCAAATTTGCTGCCATTGAGCTGATAGGACAGGGTAGAATGGCCCCAGTGGGTTTCCGAGACTATAACTCTTTCCAAGAATGGAAAGCCTCTACTTTCTCCCACTAAAGGCTATCTTGGTGGTGTTAGGTGCCATCAACGTGATTCTGACTTACAGCAACCTTATGTAAGACAGAATGGTGGACCATTCTCACAACTATTCTGATGTGTGAGCCCAGGGCTGCAGTCACTGGGTCAATCCATCCCATTGAGGGTCTTCCTTATTTTATTGGCCCTCCACTTTTCCAAGCATAATATCTTTCCACAGGGACTGGTCTTTCCTGACAACAGGTCCAAAGGGTGTGAGATCAAGTTTCCACATCCTTGCCTCCAAGGAGCATTCTGGCTGCACTGCTTCCAAGACAAATCTGTTTGTTCTTTTGGCAGTCCATGTTAGTTGCCATATTCTGCACCAGCCCCATAGTTCAACTACATCACTTTTTCTTTGGTTATCCTTATTCAATGTCCAAGTTTCACACGCAGAGGAGGTGATTAAAAATACCATGGGTTGGGTCAGGCTCACCTTAGTCTTCAAAGTAATGCCCATGCTTTTCAATGCTTAAAAGAGTTCTTGTTTAGCAGATTTACCTAATGCAACATATCATTTGATCTCTTTTCCGTTTCTTTCAGGAGCATTGATTATGTATCCAAGTAAGATGAAATCCTTGACTACTTCAATCTTTTCTGTTTACCATGATATGACCTATTAGTACAGTTGTGAAGATTTGGGTCTTCCTTACACTGAGGTGTAATCCATACTGAAGACCGCAGTCCCTTATCTTCATCAGCAAGTGCTTCAAGTCCTCCTCACTTCAGCAAACAAGGTTGTGTCACCTGCACGTTGCAAATTGTGAATACACCTTTCTCTATGCTTGATGCCGTGTTCCTCCTCATGTCAAAGCTCCTCTGATCATTTGCTCAGCATACAGATTGAATAGATACGGTGAGAGGACCCAATGCTTACGCAAGTCTTCCTGGATTTTAAAACCTGCAGTATTCCCTTGTTCTGTTCCCACAACTGCCTTGGTCCATGTACAAGTTCCACACAAGCACAATGAAGTGTTCTGAATTCCCATTATACTCAAGGTTACCCACAGTTTATGATCTACCCACGTGAATGCTTTGCTTGATCAATAAAACACAAAAGGTAACATCTTTCTGGTATCCCCTGCTTTCAGCCAAGATCCATTTTATTTT